GTCTGATTCAGTCACTGGGGTCAGAAGCTATAAAGAAAGCAAGTTTTAAAGAGAGACAAGTGTGTTTTGTGGATAGGACGAGACAACAGCCAGAGCTGAGCTGTCCTGCTCTCTGGAGGAGTCACTTGTGCCTTTCTATGGCTGAGCTGGTGACAGCGCCTCCACCTCCCAGAGCATCATTAGCACAGGAAACAGGGCTCACTGACAATCTGTGTGAGCAAATGGGTTGTGTGAAGAGACAGGTGAGAGAGATGGCGCCGTCATAGGACTCAGGCTCAAACTGATTAAGTCACTGGGGGCACAGTCCCAACAGAGACCAGGCCAAACCCAAATACAACCTGCTTCACTCTGCACATATGCGTCTTTGATTACCTCAGCTCACAGACAGGACCTTGGCCCCGGGTTGAGACAAGTGGCACACAATGAGTGATGGACCCATTTGAACAGGACAGTGGTGAGGCGAACCCAGGGCTCACCTCGGCCCCATGTCTCAGACAGATGGCATGTGCCATTCACAATGGCCGTCAGCCATGGCAACTGTCTGTGCACATCCTGCCTGCTACAGTACTCTGACCACTCTGACATGATCCTCAGTGTGCTCTTTATGTATGAGCACGGGCCAAGAGCAAACCATTAGGTCTCATTTGCATCTTTCTTTTCCCAGTATACCACAATAGTGAAGAACGATTTTATATTGAACTACAGAATGTTGCATTCAAGCCACGTCAGATAGAGACATATTTGCTTGGGCTTCATTTACAAATTCTGTCGTTGGGAAGGATCAAAAGCACTTATTTTGAAATCTGAAATGTGATTAAATATTTATTTAGCCCTTTTAGGAATGTGGTGTGAAAAGTAATTACTCTGGCAGTCATTGTTTTTGAGGGAAATAGCATTGGGACGAGAGAGGAGACAGAATGAAAATCAGTTTGGAGACAATCCCTCCCAGTAGTTTTTGTTGTCAATTTTGTAGAAAAGCAAAAAGATGATTCATTATGTGTTTGTTTGCTCTAGTTTGCAAGGGGAATAGAAAAACATATTACGTTGCAAAGGTGCACCTGCTTGTTCCATGTAAAACAATAAAAATCATTGCTAAGTCTAGCTGACAACAATAAATTAACACTAAAATGATTCCTGACCCTCATGAGAAATGTAAAGGTCAATGCAAAAAAACCAGCATAAACAAGGGTGTCTGCTCCTCAATGGAGGCTTGATATGATCCTGATGGGGTTTATTCTTGGTTCGCCTTAAATACATTAATTTCATAAAGAATCATGGTGTCATGTATCAAACAATGTTCTGACTGATTCCAGGTGTGTAGTGATTTTTGATTTTCAATTCAATTCAATTTATTTTTGTGTAGACCTAAATCACAACAGCAGTCGTCTCAGAGGACTTAAGAAAGTTGAAAACACAGTTGTTCAAACACAGGAAATACAATCATACCAAACACATAGGAGCCATTAGTCCATAGGGAACAGGATGACAAATGTCCATAAATCTCCATAAATGTCCTTAAATGTCCAGGATCATGACTGTACTTAGACCCTCCTGCATCTGCAAGGAACAACTCAACAAACCCAGTAAGAAGAAACCTCCGGGAGGTCTACATTGAGAGAGGGATCCACTCTCACGGACTGACAGGCTATAGATCCAGAATTCAGGCTGTTGAACGAGGACTAAGGACCAAAGCAGGACTGACAAAGCTCTCAGGCGGGGAGCGGGTGCAGCCCATGAACCCGCCCAAGACCAGGGGAGACAGTCTACAGGTGCAGATAAAAGAGGCTGATTCATCATACATCATCACCACATGAAACAGACAATGGGACACAAGGTGAATAGCAATGAACAGACTAAATCAGAAGTCATAATGACGTTTGTTGACCCTGTATCTTGCAGTTGGAGATGAATGGGGACCATCTTGTCCTGATGATTTGTTTTTATGGACAATAATCTAATATAATTTATGGACATTAGTCATCTGGACCAATGGCTCTTTTTAATCCTTGCATTTCCTGTGTTTGAACGGTTTGATTCTCTGATCTGTGTGATCTGTGTTGGCGAAGCAAAGACTTTGTAAAGCCTGCCACGATCACTACTGTTGTGATTTAGCGCTATACAAAAATACATTGAATGGAGTTCAATTTCCAGATGATCTAGATTGATCGCACTAGTCCTAGTCATAATAAAACTTTATGTGACTTTGGTGCTGATAATAATGCAATGGTTTCATAAAGCTCTTTTTGGACACTTAAAGATGCTTCACATGTTATCATTCTTTCACTCCATACACAGTGGTGATAATCTGCAACAGTAGCCACAGCTGTCCTGGGGCACACTGACATAAGTGAGGCAACCAGTATGTGCCATCGGCCCACCACCAACCATTCATACAACACACCAGACTCATTCTTGGCAATGTGGCAAAATGTCATTCACAAGGATAACGACAGTTTGACACAATACAACTGCTGACGCCCTACAGTGGCACCTGGTGTTCCCAAATGTCTCTCATCACAGCATTGACCAGGACCTACCATGCTTCGCTTCAGAGGTCTGACAGGATGAGGCTTTCACATTCAGGTATGGCCACAATGGGGCTTGGTGATGCATTGTGATTTTGTCAAAGTTACCAAAGAACTTTCGGGAAACAGAATTAAAAATGGCGTTCATATGAAGAACTAAATGGTTTAGAATGTGGTGCATCCTTTTAATCTCATCAACAAGAAAACTAAGCTCTGTTCGTCCTCTGAATCACCAGCAGCCTGCCCTCCGTCCCCTGATTGAGCAGCCTAATGGTGCGTTAACAGTGGTAGGTTACAATATGGTAATGTGGCTTTTATATTTCAATGTGACTCACTGCTTCCCACACCATTGAACAAAGTCTAAACTCTGCTGCTGGAAACATTTATCCAAACCCAGCACAGCACAACACTGGACTACTCAGTGAATATGATTGAGACACTGAGATAGCGAGGAGCATAACATGGGTCGATGAAGTGGTGAAAAAACAGAGAGAGCAACAGCCGACAAAGAAGACACTCAGCTGAGGATTTTTGGGCAAATGAATTACACAATGGGTTTGATTTACTGTTTAAGTAATCCAACATAAGATTATTAAAAAGACCATATTATCACATTTCTTAAAGCTGGGGTACCAAACTTGTTTTTCGTACATGCTGTGGAGACAACAGAACAAATCATGTAAAAGTAAAATGTTGTGAACAAGGCAGACCACAACTTGCTGCCTTCATCACACTAGAAAAGACATTATCATTTTTTACCTGTTTGTAAGAAATATCCCTGTGACTATTTGATGATTTTGACAAAGTAAGTAATATTTATTTATTTAGCGCCTTTGACAGACCAGAGTCACAAAGCACTTTTCAATTCTGGGCATTTGTCTCTCCCTCCACACAGAGATGGGAGCAGGGTCGCCATTAGTGGTAGAGGAAACCGGAGCACCCAGAGGAAACCTACGCTGACATGGGGAGAAAACACACAAGCTCCACTCAGAATGGCCCTGTTCCGACCAGGATTCGAACCCAGGACCTTCTTGCTGAGAAGTGAGAGAGCTGATTGGGGGTGGTCCTGTCTTTTTCACTTTTCCGTCTGGTCTAAACTTGTGAGGAGGCCAAAAAATGCATGTGAAAGGCATTTTGAAAGCGAGACTCTTCCTCTCATTCTTTTGCTTGCACTTGTGTGATCTTTTTTTTTTTTTACTCTTCTATAACATCTTTGTACCATACACCAAAGAAAATGACCAGTTTGTCCCTTGGCAATGGCAGTACGAATAATTCTGATTCTGTCAAATATTTTTACACCACATAGAACGTTCATATTTCTTTGCCTGAACATTTCACAGTCATTTTTAAAGCATTTATGGTGTTAATTTGACCGCTTTATCCGGGCTTTTCTCTGCATTGTAAATAAGAGTAAATTAGAGTGTGTGGTGCTCGAGGTTATGGAGCTTCTAGGCATGGCTCCAGCACAAAGGACCAGTGTGTATCTATTGTGCTCTCTCCGGAGATACTGGCAGACCGCAGCAGGTGGAATCAGATACGAAGACACTTATGTGAACGGAATATCGCTTATGTTATATATAGGGAGGTGCATAATGTTTTCAGGAGTCATGGAGAGTTGCACAATAATTATCAATCATAAAATCAACATGTAATATTCCAAACATCATAATGTGCGGCGATTATATTCATGTGGACACAGGAGAGCCGGGGCCAATTTGTAAGTGGCTTTTTGCATAAAGACATTTCATTGTCGTTTTATAAAGGCCAGTTTTGTGTCAATAAGCGCTGACTGTGAGTGGGACATAAGTGGTTTTCACATCAAGCGACGATTTCCAATATCACCAACAAACAAAAAAACAATGTATGAGATTATGTCCAATATGAAAAAATGTGATTCGACTTAAACTGTGATTTGAATATTTGCTGCAACGCCAAGAAATACATTCCATAAATGAATTATTTAAAGCCCACTCCTAATCCTGTTCAGTTTCAGCAGCAGAGATGTTACACACAAGAGTTTTCATATATTTTAGGAGGTGTGAAAATAGCCATAGAGACAGTGGTAGTGGCTGTGTGTGTGTGTGTGTGTGTGTGTGTGTGTGCACTTGTTTTCAACTCCTGGTGGGTTCCATAACCTGAGATTCCACTCACGTCATGGGGACTGGTTTTACGTGGTGGGGCCCGAACACCGGACCCCACTGGTCCAAGCTTAATAATCAATGGGTAATGCTTTTCTAACGGTCCTTATGCAGTCTCTGTAAAAATATGGAAAGGACCCCTGGAGGTTTACTTTCCTGAAAAAAGTGTGTTATGTGTCGGAACCCTGGTGGTGGGTTGCGGGATATCAAGGAGGGGCACACTGGGGCAATTTCAGTCCAGCAGGCTGGAGCCAATCATGGAGCAGCACAACAGAGGAAATCAGGTGTCAGGCTAGAAAAAGGTGCAAGTGTGTGGTTCATTAGGCTGCAAGAAATCATGGAGGAGCACACTGAAGCGCACGCTTACAAACCACTGGTAAGTGCTGACTACAAGTCATGACTTCAAATTGTTATATAGAATGATTACAAATTATTTGTTGTTTGTGCAGCTTAGTCAAGAGTCCCTAATTGATGAAGTCGACTCAGATTCTGACGATTTAACTGTCAAGAAGAAACCTGTAAAAAAGTATGGAAAAAGAAAAATCAAAAACACTTTTCTTCAAGACTCGGAAAGTGACGAACCAAAGGCAAATAAGATTGTTATCATGCAGCTGCAAAAGAAGAAAAATGGGGGGCGAGTATACAGCAAGAGACACTTCTGCCTCTACTGTTCAATGTCCTGCCACAAAATGTCCCGTCATTTGACTAGAAAACATGGAAATGAAAGTGACGTAGCCAGAGCATTGGCTCTACCTGTGAAATCTAAAGCACGTAAACTTCAGTTTGATTTGATCAGGAATAGTGGAAACCGTGAGCACAATTTTGAGGTTTTAAAGGCCGGCATTGGAACTTTAGTCCCAGCTAAACAGCCAAATTGCCCAGTTAAATCCAGTGAGTTTTTGCACTGTATAGACTGTGGGGCATTGCTTAAGCGAAAGTCGCTGTGGAGGCATGTGGCCAGGTGCCGGCTTTCACAGAAAGATGCCCAGGCTAAACCAGGTAGAAGTAGGGTCCAGTCCCTCTGCTCCCTAGCCCAGCCTGTACCGGAGGGCATCAGCAAAAAGCTGTGGTCTTTAATTTCGGCAATGCATCAGGATGAGGTCACGGGTGTTGTCAAAGCAGAAAAGGGGATTCTGAGACTCGGAGAGCACCTGTACTTAAAACACGGGCATGATAAGACAAAGCATGATTACATTAGGCAGAAAATGAGAGAAGTCGGTAGGTTAATTAACGAAGCAAAAACCGCAGGGAAACTGAAAACAATTAAGGATTTCTTTATTCCTTCCAACTTTAACCATGTGATTGATGCAGTCAGGTCTGTGGCTGGATATGATGAGGAAACAAATCAATACAAGACTCCATCCTTGGCCCTCAAACTCGGCCATAGCCTCAGAAAGCTAGCAGATATTCTTGAATGTGACTCAAAAATGGAGCATTGTGTTGATGAACTATTTATTAAAAACCTCCAACGAAGCCGGCTGCTTTTTGAGAAGAGGTGGGACGTCTGTGTTTCTTCTGCTGCCCTACAGACCCTCCGGCAAGCCAAGTGGAACACTCCGGACCTGCTCCCTCTGACTGAGGACGTTAGAGCCATGCATGCACATATTGAGGTATGTCGACCTGAATATGTGCAAACCCTAATAAGTGAGCCAACGTCTAAGCATTGGTCTAAACTGGCAGTTTTGACTCTTTGTGAGGTCATCATTTTCAATCGAAGAAGGGAAGGTGAGGTTTCAAAGATGCCACTGACAGCCTTTACCTTAAGAAGTAAGACTGGGATCCATTCTGACATTGCTCTGGGACTGTCCCAACTTGAGAAAAAGCTGTGTCAGCATTTTCAACGCATTGAAATTAAAGGGAAAAGAAGTCGGAAAGTGCCGGTTCTTTTGACTCCTGAAATGATTGCTTCGATGGAGGTGCTGGTGGAGAACAGAAGGGCCTGTTCCATCTCTGACCATAACCCATACTTCTTTTCCCGCCCGGGCGCAGACACCCACATCAGGGGATCAGACTCCCTACGCCAGGTAGCCAAAGAATGTGGTGCGGTGCATCCAGAGATGCTATCCTCAACCAAACTTAGAAAGCACATAGCTACTATGTCTACAGTTCTCAATATGAAAGAGAATGAGATGGACATACTTGCCAACTTCCTCGGCCATGACATTCGCATCCACAGGCAATATTACAGACTACCAGAGGGGACACTGGAGCTGGCCAAAATCAGCAAAGTGTTGATGGCCATGGAGCAGGGAAGAGTGACGGAATTCGAAGGAAAGAGCCTCGACCAGATACAAATTGAGCCTGAAGGTAATTCTTGATATTATTAAAATATGTATGATTTTTTTCCCCTAAAGGCCACTTGTATTTTTATTTTCTGTGCGACAGGGAGAGCAGTAGAGATCCTCTCACAAACGGACGGGCTAAAAGAAACTTCAAGCGGAGAACCTTCAACCATTCATCCAGATGCACCCCATGGTAGTGGCAGTGCCCCTTCTGGTAAGTGTACCAGGTGGGGGATTACAGCCAGGCTGCTTGGTCCTCACCCTGGGAGTGTATATTGCTAATATATTTTTATTTCTCTCCCTAGAACGTGTAAGAAAGCCATGGTCTGCATCTGAGGTGAAGGCTGTGGAGAAGACCATGACACCTTTCATACAGACTGGAAAGGTCCCTGGGAAGTCTCACTGCCTGGCCTGCATTAATGCCTCACCAGATGACCTTAGACATCGGACATGGAGTGGCATTAAATTCTATGTCAAAAATAGAATCACTGCAATTCGAAAACAAAATCTAAAATAAAATTCCTTTAAAATAGTTGTTTGGTTTCTATTGACTGTTTTGTATTACTTAAAGTCTTGGTAAAAAAAGATTATGTCTATGGGTCCCATTCTGAACGGCCCTGTCAAAGGGACCCACCAGGTAACAAAAACGTGTATGTGTGCGTGTGTGTGTGTGTGTTGTGTGTGTGTGGTGTGTGTGTGTGTTGTGCGTGTGCGTGTGTGTGTGTGTGTGTTGTGTGTGTGTGTGTGTGTGTGTGTGTGTGCGTGTGTGTGTGTGTGTGTGTGTGTGCGTGCGTGCGTGCGTGTGTGTGTGTGTGCGTGTGTGTATGTCCGTGTGTGTGTGTGTGTGTTGTGTGCGTGTGTGTGTGTTTCACCTTCGGACTGGCCCTGTGTGCGGAGAAGGCTGGAACTGTCTTCAGAAATACTAAAAAGTATATTTGTTGTGTTCTGTGCTGTAAATAGGTTAACAGTTCAGACAAACCATGTGTGGGGAAGATTTCACATTTAATTATCATACTTTTCTGCCAATAATGTCCGTCTTCAGGATTTGAGTCCACATGGGTATACTGCATGATCTTAAATGTCAACCAGAGCAGACAACATGATGTGCAGGCCATGATGACGAATGGAAGAAATAATCTGTACTGGCAAATGAATGTGCAATGAATGTGTAATTAATATAGTTCCCATTATTGGTCTTGGAGCAGTTTACGTAGAGTTGCTCTGACACATGTGCACATTAACCCAGAGCTGTTGATCTCTGGAGTACAATTACAACATCAATGTAAATGGATGGTATTAATACAGCACACACTGTCTTTAAAGTTGAGGAAATAACACATGGGCCATTAGGGCAAATACTGATTCTGCTCAGTGACATCAAATCAAAGCAACAAGAGTTTTATTTTCAAAGCTGCAATGAAAATCCTGCATCTGAATCCATGTGCACATGAATATGTTTATAATAGACAGCTTCATGCTGCGCTTTTGTGTCTAACAGATGGCCAGAGCCGCAAGTATATCATAATTGACTCATATTTGAGCTTGTGTAAAATATTTGTCACTCAAATGTTCCTGTAAAGCTCCAATGGTTTTGTTTGAGACTGTTTTGAGTGAAACAGGAATGTTTTCTAATATACCCTAAAAAACAAGCAATAACTATGACCTCTGAACTCAATACCTCATCCTTCCTTACATGTTTATCTCCTTTTGATTAACTTAATTAGACCTTTAGTGGCATCAAAAACATCTTTAGAAGTTGCTAAAGTTCGCTTGACCAAACCTGGATACATTTATAAATCCCATGGAAAGATAAGGAAGAGTTTTTGCTGAAGCAGATGTGGTTATTAACCACAGCGTGGCTCTTTCTAATAAAAGATGAACAGCAAAGAGGTGATTAATAAATCCAGAATTTATTATCTCCATTTCCAAATAAAGGTCATTTGACATTCTGGATTTACATTAGCACTTATTACATGGTGAGTTTCACTATGGTTTACATGTTTCAATACGATTGTTGTTAACTCTTCAATCACTCACTGAACAAGGACAGTTTTGTGGCCACTTTGAGAACAGTGCTTTGGATCATCCTCTGAGCTGATACAATGACAGTCACATTAAAACAGATCAATAGTAGGCAGTGAAGGCAGTGTTGTGGCTGAGCACGTCGCTCACGGGCTCAGGCTGGACCTCCTCCTCCACAGATCTGCTCACATGTCCCGCCAGCTCCTGCAGGACGCACGCTCTGCCCCTCAGGTCACTCCTGCGCTTCTCCATGATCATGTCCTCCAGGCTCTGAAACTCCAACACGTGTGAATGTTTGTCCGATGTGAAGATTTTCAACCTGTAGGGCTGTTTTCCTATGCGTATTTCTCCTCCCATTTTAAACTCCCGCTTCCCAAACCTACACCACGCCGCAAAGCTTTCAGAATTCCTCCAACTCAGCTCTCTGTCTTTGAGTCCCACCTGCTCCATGGCGTTCTGCACCACCACATCCGCCCCGAGAGGCTTCCACTTGTAAAAGTCATTCACGATCCTACATCTTCTCCCTTGACTCGCATCCGTCAGAAAGCTGTTCTTGACCTCCGCTCTGGTCAGATGCACGACCTGGAAGTCTCCCACGTACACGGCCCAGTGCGGGTACTGCCCCGTGGCCACAAACTCCACCAAATCCCCCGCTTTGCACTTGTTCAGCAAGTTCTCCGGGGAGTACACGTCCAGACTGGTGGCTCTGGCTCGCTTCTCGTAAATGCACTCCCCGCATTTGTACACGGCGCACTCCACCTCGTCCCCCGGGTTGAAGTGCTTCTCTTCCTGCTTTGAGTCTCGCTGTGAGCCGTGCACCGCGCTGCTGTCCTCCTGCTCCTCTTCGTCGTTGGAAAAGATGTAAGAAACGCCGATCCGCGGGCCGTCCTCCGTGTCCACGCCGTTTGGGTCCACCGTAGGAACTTCAGCGTAACTTAAATGGGATAACTTGTCGACCTGGTTCCCCATAACGCCTCCCCTAACAGCTCCAGGGCGCGCGTCCGTCTCTCCCCTATCCACCTGCGGCTGAAATACGAGCCGAAAAACAAGCTGCTACTCTCGAGACATGTCCACCGGCTGCCACACACAGACAAGGACACGTAACTTTCTTTTTTCAACGTAGAACATCCAAAAACAGCGCCAAATTAGATCCAATTTACGCACGAAATGTCTGGACATCAACAAGTGGAGACGAGCTGCAGAACGGCTTCGGTGACGCGCGGTACTTGTTGTTGTTACGCGCACAAACAAGAGCGAAGTGATGGAAACAGAGAGCGCAGATGTAAAGTGAGCATCAGGTAAAAACCTAGAGCTGGAGCGGTGCGTGAGGCGCGCACAGCTCTGAAGCGTCACCTCAGGTTTTAAAGCGGAAGTGCGCGTAAAACCCACTGGTCTACCTTAAACACACAACTTGTTCTGATTGCAAATAAAGCCGCGACAAATGACTGTCAGCAAAATACTGTTTGGCTTAGTAATGAATGAATACTACTACTACTATTACTATTACTACTACGGTAATACTATACTACTAAAACATAATGATATAGACCAACAACAAGAAGAAGCACTAATACATTGAAGGGGAATTCTGCCCATGTCTTTTTTAGACATCAGAACTCAATGATCAACTGTCAAACCTGTGTCTAGTTTGTATGAACTAGAATTATATGTTTCCTCAGACATGGAACTTAACATTTACATTTCTAAACATGACCTCAGCCATTATCCTCTAATGAAACAGTAAACTGATGATGGTCTTTTTCAAACAGTGTTTAATTAAGTTTGAACATGTCTCTTATTTAGATAGGAACACTGGACTACCCCCACATTACATGTGCAGCACTTATGTTCCACAGCAACAAGGTGCTGCGTTCTAACCCGTGGTGACTGTCTGTGTCACTGCTCCTGACAGAGGATCTATGGAACAGAAGGATCATGGGTCAAATGTAAAAGACAACTTTCCCTAATGTGACAATAAAATACCATTTTACTCTCAGTATCTGTTGTATAATATATACAGTGAGTGTGACATAACTGTATTGATATTTATGGTTGTGCACAAACCAGACTCTTATGTATTTATTTGGAGTGTGTATTTATGAGCAGCAGGTGCTGTAGATATTGTCACTGTGGGATAATCTCCAACACATTCACCCTGGACCAGAGGGTGAATGAGTCTATTGTACATGTTTGAAGAATCAACCTCAGGATCAGATCGGCACAGGGTCGGGAATTGAACCCAGATCTTCTTGCAGTGAAGCACTAACTGCTGCACTATTCTGAAGAAGACTCCCTTAACAAACATGTGTTCAAGTTATGGCCGGAAGGAAACAATTGTGATCTGAATAATGTGATGAAGCTGTGTGTTCTGTATACAGGCTCACACTGGTGCAGAGTCAGGCCCCGCCACTGTCTCTCAGAGCACATTGAGACTCGGAAATAAATTGAATATTTTATTGTCTCTGATTTGCCACAGAACCCTTTGCAGTTACATTTGATAAAGTGGAGACTGTAGATAGTGTCAGATGTGTGTTCTTTTATTGCTTTCAGCACCTGTCTGTCCTTGAATGAACTGGACAGAATCATCATTTGCACCGCTCTGGGGCAATAAAGTCTCAGTTTCAGTGACACTGGCTTGTGGCCTGCCTCCACTCGTTCTCTGTTATGGGCTATTTTCACCCCATCATATCCCAGAGGAAGTTGGAATGTGCTCAGTGTGCACCCAAAATGGCAGCCAGTGAGAGAAAGCATCTGTCCTGGAAGAGTCAGGAGGAGAGGATGGTGTTGGAACGGGACAAAAACAAAGACACGTCAGCGTTTACTGTACAACCTCCTGCTCCTTTTGTTCATCACATTGACAAAGAGATCCTGAGTTTGAACAGTCAAAATGATCCCACCCAGAGAACGGATGTCAACAGCCACTTTATAATGGGGAAACTATTTGTATCTTTTAGAGCAGTGTTTTCCAACCAGTGGGCCGCGGAAATAATCTGGAAATAATTGTGTGTCTTGGTAATTATCCAATATCACCTGTTTGATCAAAATCATGTGAAAAGAAAATAATGTGAGATGATTAGAAAACATTTGTTGTGCTTTTTTGATTTGCTTTATATAATACACATTGATGAGACTTTGCTTTGTGAAAAAAGGCTGCAGAGTTTCCATTTTGTATCAAATTCAGTTGGTGATGTGCTATATGAGTTTTTTTTTTTGCCATGACAAAGGCGTGCAACGGCTCGAAAAGGTTGGGGTACACTTTTTTAGAAGTGCTATTTGGGATGTTCATAATGTTATACAGGCCTAGTAGTGGATCATGGGTAAAATGCACAGGCACATAATCACTAAAACCATTGCAACAAAACACAGACTTTTCCTCTTTTTTGTTTTTCAAATCCTGGACCAAAAGAGCAGCCACTTGACCTTTCAGTTGTTCAGCTGTCAGAACACACAGATAACAGAACTAGGTAAAAAAAGAAAGACAAAAAAAACACATCTTAAAACCAAAAAAAATAAGCTTTTCCTATCTTGCTGTGATATACTTTAGCTTTAGCGCTTTAGCTCGCTCAGAATTAAAGCTATTTATGAAGTGGGCCAATCCGGATCTCAAAGCCTGATTGCTGCCTTATGTAATCCATAGTGAATGCTTTTCTTGTTTAGTCTAAATCTTGGTTGTGCTCGACTGAATATCTGGAATATCTGGTTTGAAAACCATCTTATTATCAAAAAAAAATATTTTCCATGAATGTGTTCTGTCTCTGAATAAATTAAAAGAAAGTAATGTTTTTTTTATATAGCGCATTTCCTAGACCATGGTCACACAAGCGCTTCACAATGTTGGTGTTTCTGTCATGAAAGAAGTGAGACGCCGGCGCCATCAGAATCCATTCACTCTTTCATTACATTAGTTTGTACATGGGGAAACCGGAGCACCCTGAGGAAAACGGAGTAGACACAGGGAGAACATGCAAACTCCACACAAAATGGCCTCAAACCCAAAGCACTCGAATCCCTACAGGAGAACAGTGTAGAGAGATTTCGACACCATATTGTCTTTATGTTGACGATAAACTTAAATGGAGCTTGCACATCTCCATGGCGACAATCATGTGACGTCACCGGGGAAGTTACCAGTCAGATCTGTGGAGAGGTGCGAGGCTGGAGAATACATCATGAGCACATAGGAACATAACAGACATGTTAGTCCCAAATGATCCAACTCGGACTCTGGACACAGGCAGGAGTCCAGTCCCTGTGCTCCTCAGAGTCAGAACTAAACATGGGGAGGCTGCATTTCAGATTCATGCTGCTCTAATCTGGAACAATCTTCCTGAAAATGTGATTCAGGCTTCTTCTCTGACAATGTTTGAATCCAGGTTAAAAACAGTTCTGTTTAGCTGTGCATACGACTGAGTGATTTTATATTTGTATCTTTATTTTTAATGTACTGTGATTATGAATGATATTAACGCTTTGTGTGATTGTTTCCATCTTGTTTTGTTCGACACTTTGAGTTGCCTTGTGTATGAATTGTGCTATACAAATAAACTTTCCTGGCCTTTAGACTCATCAACGAACGATAATAGATATGATTTTCCATGACTTCTATGATTTCTTGCTGATGACGTCACGTGATGTGACCGCACTTGTTCAGTAAATATTTAAACATGTCTCTCTTTTGTGAAATGGTTGAATAAAGGTTCCTGGTCAGATAAAGGTAAAAAAAAATCAGGTTAGAACATTGAGTTGTAATGTGCTATATGAATACATTTCCTTTCGTATGATCTGCTAAATACTGATACATTACAAGAACATTAAGGCAATGGACTAAAATTGCCATAATAACCATGGCCATAGAAAGAGGTCACACAACTTTGCTCTTGTGTTATTTGTGAAAAGGAATCATCAAGGACTAACTTTATAGCCGTATATATAGGACAGATCAAGGTCAAGTAATCTTTGGCCTCTGGATCTTCCCATATGTGGGAGTAATCGTGTACAGCCCACAGACTGCTCCATGTCGTCCATAACTGCACTCTGGGTCTGCTTCATGACTAAATAAGGCCACATCTTTACCAGGTACAGCTCCACATCAACCAAAACGAAAGGTGTTCAAAAAATAATCATTGTGACACATAGCGGCCTATTTAAGAGCTACTCTGTTCCTCAGGTGGCATGACCCAATTTCTGCCCTGGTGCCCCCCCTCCAGTGACATCATAAAGTGGGCTGCTGGGACATATAGGCAATTAGACAGGACCAAGCAGACAGGGCGGTTGAAAAATTAGTACCCCAGACCTCTCTATGCCACTGACCATCGGTTTCCAAATTACGAAATCAACGACAAAGTTAATTTAAGTGAAGGAAAGATTTTCATTTATTACATATTTATTTATAGTTTCATATACTTTTTACATATTTATCTGAAACAAAATAGAATAGAGATGATAGATCATGAAGGAATGTCACTTTGTTCTTTTTAAACCATTGATCTACTCAGAAACTCAATGATGTTCACAGTCCCAACAAACTACAACAATTATGTATTTAAGTTTTACATGGACATAGAAAACTCTATTCAAACACTGGCGCTGGGCGGGGAACAGGAACTACAGGGTCTCTAGAGTGAATGCATGTAGAACACATTTAAAAGTGACAAGCTTACACAACATCCTCAACAGTTTCTACAGGTGTCATGCTCACACCTCACTGGAGTCTTTTTCTATAGCTTGAAATGCAAAAACGGAAGAAGGTAGTATCAACAAAACACAATATAATGGACTGAAAAGAAGAGGCTTCAGCTTTTGGGCCATCACTGATTTCAGATTCTGGGCAATGTATTCGCATTTCTGTCCCATGGGCCCGTCACAGCCGACACACCAAAAGTCTCCCTCCGCTCTCGGACTATAAACCCATTTATCCAAAACTCTGCCTTGGTTTGGTGTACGGCTCCATGTTTGAACAAAATACAATGCAATTCACTTCAAATCCATTCATGGGTTCCACTGTATATACCTGTATATCCAGAAATAAATGAAAAAGGCCATAAATTATATGTAATAAATTTGCATTTAAAAAAGGCATAGCAATTTTAAAACAACAAAAAGCTCAGATTTGGCTGGTAGTTGTAAGGCAGTCAAAATAAAACAAAAAATACATAAAGAAAACTGGTCTTTGGTGTCTAATGTGTAAAACATAATAAAACAAAATCATCTGAATGAACTAAGTCCTTCTTTCAGTCAGTTTGTATTAAAAAGATATGCAGACTTCATTTACTCCAACTACTAAAACATGGGATTGCTTCATCCACAGGGCTGGAGAATCCCTGTGCAGTGCAAATCAAAGATGCCCTGTACAACACTTACACAAGTAAAAGTAAAAGTTTTTATCTGGAACAATTGTGCAACAGTATCATGCATCACTTGACATGAAACACAGCCACTTCTGGATTTAGCCCCAAGTCAACCAGGTCCAGAGACCAGGCCCTAAAATGCATATGTCAAATGATTCCTGAAGAGGTCAGTTCAATACTGTTTTTTTTGGGTCATTTATAGAACACGTATACAATATCAAAGACGATATGCTCCGCTCTCATGGGTCACAAAACATCCACTGACAGAGGGGCAGGGTCTGCAGAGTCAGAACAGCGCTTGTGGATCCAGTTACTGAATATGGGCTTTAGCTGCATCACTGTTTTATACTGAGAGATAGCACCACTCCAACAGAGAACATTGCCTTGCTATGGACAGGACGTGTCACAAGGAAGAGCCGGGGTGGTGTCTGCTCTAGTGGTCAGTAAAAGACAAAGTGCAGGTGGGCCATTAACCCTTGTCCTACTGGAGATGTTCTGAAGGGGTGGTCCTTGTGACACATATGTAGACCTCACTTACTCATTTTCTCATACGCAACATTATAAGACAGTATTTTTTTTACATTGAGTGGTAAATTTCCTATGGCCGATAACTTTATGTGAGGTCCTTCTGAAGAGCCGAGATGTCCAGTGGAGGAGGGGCCCGTCCACTCCACTCCTTCAGCTCTGCGTCCTTGAAGAGCAGGTTCAAGGCAGGCAGCGGGACCCCAGCCTCTGCCGCGGGCTGGCTCAGAGGGCTCGACACACCACTGTCCTGGTCAGTGCTCAGGCTGCCATCCTACAAACAACAGGCCAAGGGCAGAGATCAGAGCCCACCAGGCACACAGTAAAATACAGAGAGAGGAACAAAGACTGAGACAACATGAAAGCCCATGCTTGTATCAGATACAGGTTCACCATCAGTTTGGCATTCTTTAAATTGTTTTACATTCTTCTCGATGCATTTGCTATAGTTGATTCACCCCCGTTTATGGACTTTAACCCTTGTGCTACCCTCAGGTCAAAATGACCCACCAAAGTGATTAAAAGTAGAATAAAAATACTCTAAATTAAGGTCTACAACGGTCTAAATGACCCAGGGCTGGTCATGTTAGGAAAAATCATCCAAATTCACGCAGATTTTTTTTAGGATACTTCATAATCAGTGTGGCAGGTCAATTTGACCTGTGGATGGCACAAAAGGTTCAAATAACAAGCATTACTCAAACATTCATAACAACCAACAGTGAAGAGAAGATGGAATTCTCCTATTTTGAGTGGAAATGTTTTACCTGGAATGATTGTACGAAGCTGAGCACCTTCAGTGAAAGCTTTCGGCTGGAGTGCAGCAGCTCCTGGAGGCTGAAAAACATTAAGACAGTTTTACTAAAGTGTATTTAATATCTTTGAAAGGTTTTCTGTCCTCAGGATGTTTTTTCATTTGTTGTTGTTGTTGCTGTAAGGTTTTGCTTCACCTCTCGTGGCTGAAGAGTTTGTGCGAGGCGATCTTCCGACACACTTTACGATTGAGCTCTGAGCTGAAGAGGGGCATGCCGAAGCACAGTTCAAGAGGGACCCACTCGTCTTCACACGAAAGGGCTGAAACAGAGGGGCCAAAAAGACTAATTAAATATGGGCAGAACCTTACACCATCTGGACATATTTATAGAAATGTTAGCTCAGTTAACAACGGATAGTAAGTAAGTAAGTAAGTAATCTTTATTTATATACCGCCTTTCACAGACCAGAGTCACAAAGCGGTTTACAATTGTTATTTTTGAGCACTTGTCCTCTCACTCCTCACAGAGATGAGAGCGGGGTCGCCAGTACAGGAGGCGCATGCCAGACCTATTGTGCATATTTTTAGTGGTAGGGGAAACCGGAGTACCCGGAGGAAACCTACGCAGACACGGGGAGAACATGCAAACTCCACTCAGAAAGGCCCTGGTCCGGCCGGGATTCGAACCCAGGACCTTCTTGCTGAGAGGCGAGAGTGCTATCCACTCAGCCACCGTGTCGTAGTATTGCTTGTACTTGCTTGATTATAGAGTTTAATGTTGCTACTCACTGTCTGTTTTGGTCTTGGTCTCTCCATTGTTCTCTTCTGTGACCAGCTCAAAAGACTCTGTGCTGCCGTTAGTGTCCAAACCGCCACCGAGATGAGTTTCTCCTGAAAGATAAATAGTTCAAACAAACGTACTCTTTGGCAACCTTCAATAAGCACAATGTGTTCTTTATTTCTATTAACGAACTACAGTACCATATTTATGAATATTTGTAAAGGAGGAATGTATCCAAGACATGCCAAATACTTATCCATTGGAAAAGGTTATCTCAATAAAGTGAACATTTCCCTGTCGGGGAGCTCCTGAAAAGTTGTCTGTGACTTCATCTACTTTGCATGTCCATATTAAAATGGAATAAGACAGAAGCACAATGTTGATGGTTTAATAAAGTTTGGTTTGCTGATGGTTTGCTTTACCCCGGCACTCGCCGCTGTCGCTGAGCCTGCGCCGGTGTCGGTTGTTGGAGTTGAGCATGGTGATGTAGCCGCACTGATGCTCCAGATCCACAGAGTCCTGGAGCTTCCGCAGAGCTTTATGCACACACATGTTGGAGTAGGAAAACTCTGCACAGGAACAAAGGGAAGTGTTGTGCTCATCAGTTCTCTTTGTAAAAATACAAATATTTTCTATTACTAACCTCCTTTTAGATCCTCCTCATCAAATGGGAATGGTATATGAACGGTTTCTCCGTGGCCGTGCATCCCGTGACCCTAAGATTTCATATAAAGAATGACACCAGTCCATCCGAGTGTGTGATAATGAGAGCATCTACCTGAATGAGTACAGCTGAGTGAGTGAGGGCGTCATTGAGCATCGTCAGAACATTCGATGTGGGTACAACGCCAGGATCATGACCCCAGGATGTGATCAGCAGCCGGTCATAAACCTGAGCACCAACAGAAAACAGGACGTTTCTCAGGAAATACCCAACTGCTCTTTATGTGAAAGTTTAGGTTCATGGAAGGATTCAGCAGACCACATACTTTTGTGTTTTCAAAAGTGACCCATTTGCATGTTATTACCGACTTCCCCCGAGCTTTGACAACATAGAATCTCTCTAACCGAATGAAATTCCCAAGATATTTCAGAGATGGCAAAACCTGTGGGAAGCCTGGAGGCAAGACGCAGGTGCTACAGCACTTGTCGGCTTTGATGATGATGTGCCAGGTGCATTAAACATTTTTCCATCTCCTTTCTTATAAGAAGGACTAAATGTTTTACATTCTTTAAATAATTTATTGCTGCAGCCATGATGAAGGATTAGTTCAAACCTGGAAGATGTCTGGCAGTTTGCGGAGCCTTGAGCCCTTGGACAGCAGCAGAGACGGTGGGCCTTGGCCTGTCACACGATACAAGTACAGCTTGAACCAGATGGAGCTCACCTCAGGGATGGCCGGACCAATGTGCTGCAGGCAGGAGCGGCAGACACGGCACAAATGTCAGATTCACTCTTCAATTGTAATTCATACCAAATACAGTATCCATACTGGACTTTTGCAGAGATTGAAGGGTCCAGGGTCATGTCACCAATTAATCTCAGACGATGTAGAAAAAATGTATTTTATAAACTGCATGTATTGCTGGAATTGTATTTATATATAACTATAATATTTAGACTATTAGACTATTTAGAGTATCTTTTCTTTGGTTTTAGAGTGAGAGTAAAGAGTCCAGTAATTTAATTAAATTGTTATTAAGTTTTCCCTTATATCTTTGTTGCCTTTTCGACCTTTAATAAAATGTCCCTACCTAAGCTCTTGTATCCACTTTTGGCAGAATCTATTGGTTTCTCCGATTAGGAAAGTGTTAACAATTCTGCACAAATCAAAGAGAAACAAAGAGTTTCTCAGAATAAATAGTTAAACTTCATTCTTAAAGTCTCTGAGCTCAGACGCTGGACTGAGTCCAAGTAAAGAAAATTCAACTCGCCTCCCTCTTCCTTCTCTTTATGTGGCACTGTTGTCACGGGCAACAGTAGTTTGAGTATTCACACACAGAAACATGGCAACTGCAGCGCAACCAAACCCCGGACTGAACAGAGTCTGAACTAAAGCCTCTACAAACTGCAGGATCAGTGAAAGCCGCGCAGAGGACACAACATCTCAGAGAACTACTCTATACAAGCAAAAGCCAGATGTATGCGTTTTCTCTCACAGTCACTGTGGGTCAGATCCAAGACATGTAAAATGGTTTTTTTTACACATGTGAAAATGTTTGGTGTGCCGTGTGTCAGCCGGCTACAACAGGCGCATGTCTGAAATCAGCCCCACGAGCTCCTGAGCTTTTCCACTGGCGTGCGGCGGGTTTGGGACGTTAGTCGTACCTGTGGCGTGCAGCTGCTGATGGGCCGTATCTCGTTGCTGAGTGGAGCCATTGAAACGAGCAGTTTGTAGTTTTTGTTGAGGACGCGGCTGCAAGTGGCTTGGTCTAAACCCAACAGGCTCTCACAGCGCAGCATGTCCAAGGGGAAGCCTGGAGGACAGAAAAGAGGATTCAATAATACGGAATATAGAGAATATGGAATTATAACTTTGTGAAGAAATAAACGTTTATGTTCTTCAAAAGGAAATTAGTCAACAATAGTAATAATAGTCTGAAAAATACACAGATTGTCTGTGTCAGTTTTGTCTGGGTGCTCTGGTTTCCGCTGCCATTAAAAACATGTATAATAATTCAGGGTGAATGAGTGTATTTGGAACAATGGATGGAAATTAGCCCAAAGCTACTATCCAGAGAGGAGTGTTGATTAACATGCACTGTTCAACCAAATAAATAATACAATTGATTGCACCACATATAGAATTTTAAAATATTTTCTGTCAAACATGTTTATTTTCCACAATATTAATCATCTATAGCTTCCCGGATGCGAGGTGGGTGTTTTGGTCACACGAGTTAAAGGGAGACTCCGGGAGAAAAAGGTTGAAACACCACAGGCCACATGAAAGTAAAGAAGGGTCACCTATGTTTGGGATGTCGGGTCCCTGGTCCTGAGTAAGCTCTTTGTTGTAGCGTAGAAAGAGAATAGTGTTTTTGAGAGTGAGTGCATGATCAAAGTAACGCTGGGCCTCCCCTTCAGCCGTAGACTCCACCTGAGTCAAAGAAAATAGAGCACAATGTCATGTGACAGTGGAGAAGAAGGAAACACACAGTATATTTATTAAAAGCCAATTGTATCACTCTCCTATGAGCTTACCTTCTCTAACTCTGCCAAAAAACTGTCAAGAGTCTCATCGGACAGCTTTCCAACTTCAAACATGGTGACTGCATGGCTTTTCAGGTTCTGACAAAAAGGGAGTCATATCCTTACAGTCAACAAAGTATGCATATTGATATAAAAGTAGATTCCCTGAGCTACTCACTGGGGACAGGTTTCCCATCATGAGAAAGGCTGTCAGGGTGGAGTCAAAGAGGAAAGCGATTCTCTTGGTTGGGGCAGCAGGGATGCTCAGACTGCTAACACTAGTTGTGTCAGCTGCAAGTAAAACACATGAGTGAATAAATTAGTAGATTGTGCTGGGAGGGTTCTGGCAGCACAATGCTTAAGCAAGAACAGCCAAAGACACTTGATGACCCTTTTTGGAAGTTATTATGTTTTTTAAGAGGTTTTGTTGATATGGACTAAATCAGGAAGTACCAGTCCGAGTCAGACCTTGGTCCTCAAGGCTGGTAGTGTCTGTGTCGGTGGCAGATGACCCCCCTTCCATCACAGGGCTGCCCTGTTCCCAGGACAGCAGCATCCTCTGGGGGTCCATGGTGCTCCTGATGGATCACATGAGACAGGTCAAAGATAGACAGGCCAAAGACAGACATTGACAATACACATTGTGGTGTCGAATTAATACTTGAGTCTGTTGACAGAGGGGGCGTTCTTCCAGGTGGGATGAAGTGTTTCGGAGTTGAAGACCGAACCCTTCTTCACAGCAAAACCCAACCGACAATACATAGATACTGCATTCTGGAAAAAAGTGGAACTTTTACTTAAGCTCAAAAATCAGGTGCGGAGAGGGCTCACACTATTTTCTTTTTGCCAGACGCCATGAGAAAATTACAAGATTCATCTGGTAAAATTATAAAAATAAACTTAAGCATAAACTCAAAGTCAGAAAACCTCTTAGTACAATGTTATCATTTTTTCTCATAGTATTACAAGAATAAAGTTGTAATCTTTTCACATTAATATCATAGTCAAAATAACGATGACATGTAATCACAAATGCACAAAGCGGTTTTTAACATCATACGAATGATTTAATCACTTCTGCAACCGCGTCACCTTCGATACAAAAGCGTGCATACGCTGTTCATAACAAATAACACCACTATTAACATGGGTCAACGGCTTAACAAAATATGAAATTATAAAACCCTCTTGAGCTTCTGTGAACTCAGAAAAACTTTTCAGAGACAGCCCATCCCTGTAAACTTAATGAATGTGACATCAGCACAGTTGCTATTTGCATTTTGTCAACAGCAGGTTTTACTGCAAATGGCAAATAAATGAATCTGAATCTGAGCTCTTGGCAACTGCTGTGAGTGACTTTTATTTCTGTAACTAATCAACAACTTTTCTTTGAAACAAAATTAAATTAGGATGACTGATGACAGGCACCTGGAGATGTAACTAAGCATCACTTTGACTTGTAATAACAGTTTTTTGTATTTGTAAAATGTGTCAAAACTGTATTTTCTCACTGAGTAGCCCAACACAGGTCATAATACATAATATACCTTGTATATACCTCAGACATATTCTTGATACATATTCATTGAATACTATAAAGCAGCCATTCCCAAACTCAGTAACACCGAGGCCCCCTTAAAAATCTGACGGGTCTGCGTGGCCCCCCAAAATAATAACCAAGAAGACAACATTAAGAATAGGCTCTTCTGGTTATTTTATTTTGGGGAAATAGCCTCTGCTACAAACATTGTAATACAAAAATGATTACAGTGGATTATTCAAGTCAAATAATGAACACAAATATTTTAATATTACAAACAAAGTAGCTCAGTTGGTAGAGCAGAGCATTAGCCTTAAGGCCAGAAGGTCGTGGGTTCAATTCCCACCTCTGCACCTTCTCCACCGACTCCCACTGATGACTGCTGTCGTTGTGTCCTTGGGCAAGACACTTAACCCCACTTTGCCCAAAGCCCCCGCTGAAAGATCAAGGCTATGCTCACACTCAGAGCAGCCGTCCTCCTGTGGACTCACCACCTGCAGAGGGTCAGTGAGGGGCTGGTGCTATGAGACTTGGGTGGCATCTCTGACTGCCACCCCCCTGACCCAGAAATGGATTAAAGGGTAGAAAATGGATGGATGGATGGATGGATTATTTTTTTTTTTTTTTTTTATGACCTCCCGCGGCCCCCCTGCAGTACCCTCGCGGCCAGGAGACACTGCTATAAAGCTATAATCATTTCAACTCACCTTCACCAGGTCCAAGTCAATTTCCAGCACGTTTGCAAGCTGTCGGGCACAATAACAATTATAGTCAAAGACTTAAATATGAGTCGATCAACTCTCTGTTTTACCTCGGCTACATTTGTCTGTTCATCGATGGAGACAAAAATCTTGTACAGTAGAGTTTCAAAGTAATCGCCCTGGACACGGTTCATGACAAATCCTTCCAAAGGAGGCACTGACAAAGACAAACATTATGTTGACACCTACATGTTTATATTGTATAACTATATAACTATATATATTATTTAGAAGATTTTTTTGTAGAGCACATTCCGTTCAAGACCTGTGGTCGATATCATTTAATTATATTCAAACACCAATGTACCTGAAATACAGCTGTCATCAGATATGGGCACATCCAGATAGATAAAACCCCGGTTGTACAAACCTAAAACATGTAAAATACCCATTCATTCAATGATTCCAGTCACTTTCACAGTGCAATGTTGGACAAGTGCTGAATTACTACTCACTGAGAACCACATTGTACTCCATTGATCCAGCGAGCTGAGGACCTGAGTCTATCATTTTATCAATAGCCTTTTTCTCAGCAGTAGAGCACACCTGGAATTATATGCAATTATCACTACTTAGATTTATCACTTCCTTTAGGAATTCATGTTTCAATGTTTAAGTGATGGACAGAATACTATGCACTCACCCTGATATCGTCCTCTGTGATGTATCCCGTCTGAGCGACCCACCACGGCTCCACAGAGATCTCCACAGGTTTAGTAGGCAGCAGGTCCCGAGCAGATTTTCTCCGGAAGAATTTCTGATTAAAAAGAAATAATGTGCAAATTAAAATATGGTTAAAAGATCAAATTTGTATGCATTTTAGTTCAACTCACTTTGGAGGACCTGCACTGGTTCATTAAGTCAATGTACTGGTTCCTCCCAATGCCAAGAAGCCTCAGACCTGAGGAAATATGGAAATGGCATTTTACATTTATAGCACTACAAACCCTTTTTTACTTTGTGAGAAACTTCTGTACGTCATAAGAAATTAAAGCAAGACTCTGGTTGAGCAGGAGCTTAAGAGATGACTCATCCACAATTTCAAATTAGTCACAAAAAAGACTGCTCAAAGCGACATTTGTCTTAAATCAGAGCATACTTTAAGCAGAACAAAAGTAGCTAAATTACAGTAGTAAAGAATGCCTCTCCTGTGTTCATTGGCCAAAGTGACAACGATAGAAGCCAAAACAGTGAGGCTTCCTTGTCTCCTGAAGCAGCAGAATCCCACACACTGCCGCTTCAGCAAGAGACACAAACAACACACAAGTGTCCGCCCACATGAGCACAACTCCTCTGGGACGAGAAAGCAGCTCAGAGGACGGCCTGCAGGCAGCCTTCTGTCCTCACAGCGAGAGGGTCCTGTACTGCCAGGACCCGGCTCTGGCACTGCCCCCAGACTGACAGGGACACACTATAGAAAGTCAAACAACAGTTCTGCCCTCGAGACGCTCCCTGAATATTAAATACTGTACATGCAAATAGAGTTTTTAGGTGCATGTACGGGAACATAACCAGTTTAAAAATCCTACAGGTATTTTCTTGTATAATTAAACACCTGAAGATTAGTCATGCGAAAAACAAATTAGAAATTTGACTCACAGTCAGCAGCAGTGAAGTTGGGCAGGGAGTCGTAGCTCTTCTCACTGTTCATAATATCCTGGAGGTACAAGGAGGAAAACTAGGGTTATTTATTCTTTACGCAATCGCAGATATATATACATTAACAGAAAAACAACCAACCCCTTAAACAATGATCTGAGATCTGAGTTGAGCTGGTACTATTTTGATGTTTGAACTGTATAAACTGTCAGGAGGAGCAGTCATCTCTGTGGTCAGGTCGGCTTGGTGCATGTTTGGTGTGAGGGAGGAAGAAGAACGAAGGAAACCCAACCAGACAGGGGAAGAAACATGCAAACACACAGAGGCCTGGGGGGTAAAACTGTCTTTCTAGAGGAGAGAAGGGTTGTTGTTTTTTTAGAGAAGTCTTTCAATAGGCCACAAAACAATAAACCAGAATATGATTTGATATATTTTGTTAGCAATATGATTCAGTCCAAAATAAAGATCTTTGGCCCCTTAACTAATGTAAAAAGACATTATACTCAAAGAGAGATCTGGATATAATATAATAATTATGGATATAATGTCTAAATAATATATGTTCAAACAGGTGAGTGCTACTCAGCCACTGTTCAACTCTTTACAGAATATTGTTGTTGTTTGAATACAAAAATCATATCGCTATGATCAGGGAATCAAAAACCCTTGGCAAACTGTGGACTGCGCCACTCACAAGTAAATGGAGTGTAAGGTTTAATAACAGCCCTCTAGTCACCTTCACATCACACAAACAAACATAACTCAATATTCTAATTGTCAGCAGGAGTCAAGGTGAAGCGCAGGTCTCGGCCTCAGACTGCAGCTCGGCGGGAGCCCAGTGCTCTGACCTCATCAAAACAAGTAAGAACAAAAGCTGAAGTGGTCACTGCAAAAACACTAGGCTTTTATTGGTCGTTTGTCCTGATGAGCCAAAAAGGTTTCACTAGTAGCAGTGAATATGCATGTGTAGTTCAGCCAAATACATACCAACAAGTATCTAAATACTACAGGTGAGATTGGGTTTAGATGGCACAAAATATTATTTCCTGTGTTAAGTTGCACAAGGGATCTATTGTTTTTCTCCAGAAAAGTATTCTCTTCTACCCTGATAAGGTTTACATTGTATTTCTATGACACGGTGCCTTACCTCCATAATTCCTATGTAATATGAGAAGGGTGTGACCCGCAGTCCTTTGACCATGATGTCCGACAGGTGGAAGGGGTACAGCATCAGGTGTTCCCGGCTGTACTTCAGGAGCTCCTCATAATACTTGCGCTCATCTTTCCTCACGTGGCGTACTGCTCATAAAACACAAACACAATCAAAAGAAACAGCAATCCATTGTAAAGAACAGAAACAACTTTTCATAACTAGGAAGTCAAAAGAAAAGGTGAGAATTGATTGATTTTAAAACTGGTAAAAAAGTTGGTTCAGTGCATGTGGTGAGAAAACACTATTTGATTATTCCACTTTCCTTCATTGTAGGCTTGTTTACAATTATGTGGGAGCAAAACAGTTTCAGGAAAGTAACAACTCACCTAAGTTATTGCGGAATCGCAGCTGGTTGCGAATGCTGTATGATAAAACCTGCTTCTCATATTCACGCTGTGAGTTCCCCAAACTCTGTATGAACAGAAAGAATTTAAGGTTAATGTAAGCCATTACATTTGTTTACTGATGTGAATAACAACCTACAATCAACTTAACAACGAGCTGCTTTTTAAAATGAAAACACATTGATTTGTCACAGAAAAGAATTTAGAATCTATAATAAACCCATATTCCTTGTAATAAAGCTGGGGTACCTAACTATCAAACCACAAAAATGGAATTGTGTAATTAAATCCATGTAAACAGTTTGGTTCTATAACTATCTACATGCATGTAATTTTTGGCCTGTATCATTTTTGACAAAAAAGTGAAGAGAGGACCACCCTCATTTAGCCAATCAACAAAACAATATTTCCTTCTGTTGTTTGGGACATTTTACTTGAAATATTAACGTGACCAAACTAATCTGATTACATAGATTAATCATTGATATAAATAGACTATTTACACTAAAGGAGAAGAGCGTTCAGTGCTCGATGTCTGCCCACACAGATTGTGACATATAGAGCAGAGCCATAGAAGAGCGTACGAGGAGGAGGAGGATGTATTATTACTATTTATAGATCATTAGAAGATCTCGGGAACACTGTAGTACAAAACATAGGGCCTCCAGCTGTGTAATTACATAAGTATAGCAGGTACGAGAAAGGGCTTTTGGCATATAGCACCACCTCCTAAACAATGTGTCATGTGATGCAGTGTTAGCGGAGGCAGCGCTCTCCATGGCGGTAGTCGCGGTTAGCTAGGCTGGCTGAATGGAGAGAGGCTGCAGAGGAGAACACACTGACAGCTGCTTTAAAGACCGCGGTGACATTGACAGGCTCACCCCAACACACACTCACCACCACCACCGCCACCCCCTTTAACACCCTCCCTCCCCCCGGCATCAGAAACGATAAACCCGATACCTGTTTGACATTAGCAGGGAGCTTGGTCCACGGATAGTTCTGCCTGATGTGGAATTCCACGTCCGTGTTCATTGCTAGCAACTAGCAGCAGCAGCAGCAGGAGCAGCCCCCAGGGAGACGAGAAAAAGCGAGTCCTCCAGCGGGTCCACGATGACAGTATCTGCACTAGTGTAACCTGCCGAGTGAAGATGTGCTCCTTAAAGAAATAAATCGCCCCGAGAGGATTTTCCTCTAGAATAAGCGGTCACTTCCTTGTTGTATTTTCGAAGGGCTGTTCGTCACGCTCGCGGACACGTTCGTCACTTCCGGCCATGAGATGAATGAAGCAAAAGCATCAGAGAGATGGAGGGGATGGAGGTACTTATCCTTCATGTATTGTTATTTATCATTACTTAATATCAAGTTAGATGTAGAAAGAGCAGGTATCGCACACCAAAAAAAGTTTAGAGAACATTTCAGGGAACAGGGTAGCATTGCACACTCAGCTCCGATGTCCAAAATCGTATCTTTTCACGACGTTTCGGCTTCATGACTTCATCAGATCATGTTTTTCTTTTTCTGTTGAACACAAAATAATACACATACAAAATAAAAATATGTGTATGTGTATGTATGTATACATATGTGTAAATGCATATGTATATATGTGTGTACACATATGTGTATGTATGTATACATATGTATGTACATGTGTAAATGCATATGTGTATATATGTATATTATGAAGATATTCGGATTGAAATACGTGGCAGTGTGTGCGTGTGTAAGTGTGTGGTTTTTTTTTTTTTTCATTGCTGATGTAAGTGTTACCCCCGTGAAGACAGACACAGGCTGGGGTGTAACATTGGGTTTTTTTTTATTCTGTAAACAGAAACATATATAGTTTTCAGACGCGGCTTTGCCTCCGTGGACTTCAGTTGAAAACCTTACGCAGAACTGAGCTAACTCTGCCTTTATACTATGCAGACTCATATTTTAGTTATAACACAGTTGCTTGTCTTACAGTCTCTTTAACATGTTTTTTACAAAAAGAAAAACAAGCTTAAACTTGACATAAACGTTACAAATTACAGATCTCCAGTACAATAAAAGTACTTATTTACCAATAGACCAGTCACAATATATCTACTCAACTGCTACGATGAACCTATATAGGTAATAGAAAATAACTGCAACAAATCGGACCAACGTCTATATTTAACTGGACGCTAACAGTAGTTAGCAGTTAACGTTTTGTACAAAGAACCTAAAAATACAATTTCAATAAATAAAACATCGTCCCGAAATTACAAGTAGTCCCACTAATGTTACCCATAGAGTGCTTAGTGTACTTAACCCACCTGTAAACAGAAACATATATAGTTTTCAGACGCGGCTTTGCCTCCGTGGACTTCAGTTGAAAACCTTACGCAGAACTGAGCTAACTCTGCGCGAGACCAGGACGTTAGTCTCCTACTTACGTGCCACTACTGCCATCTTCTGGCGCAAATTAACATAGCACCAGAAACGGGTAAATAGTACACAGCCAAAATTAAGAAACATTAGTAGTAAAATAAAAGGGTTAATTAAAATGAAAATTAATTGGGGGGTATCTTATTATACTTAAACAGTCCTGGGGGCCACACCCTCCCCTGCTTAATAAAAGGAAAAAAAAAAATGCTGTCTCATTTTTTTTTTTTTTACTCCAAAACAGTGTCCCTTGAGCTTAACTGGTGGTTATATATCACATTTTTAGCATTGCTTATAGGAAAAAAAACTTGCAATTACCTTTTAGTAGACATTTGAATACTATACCAAGTAATACTAAAATTTCTGTTGGAATAACCAGATTTCTTCTCAAGATGAATAAACAAGTTCACCTTACTGTGAATAATACCTTTTACCATTGTAACCAGACACATAAACGGCCAACTTTATCACTTTGTCTGTTACCATATCATCACATTGTTTAAATGTAGACACTGTTGCATATGTGCAATATACTCAACTTAGTCTCCCTGAGTTGCACTTCAGCATTTTCGGAATAACTTGCATTTCTTGTTGCAGTCTTATAGTGTCTGTGTCACTCTACTAGTCTTTAATAAGCTGCTTGCGTGGTGTCGGACGCCCATGGTCTCCAGAGTCTCTGTGAGCATGTGGGTGGGACACTCACCTCGATACAGTCCATACCCACTGGTCTCACGGTCGGGTGTCCGAGCTGGTGATAGGAGAGGACCTGGGGCCGCCGCCGCTCCCTCTGAGGGTATATGTGGGTAGCAGATGTCGACCACTGCACATCAGAGTCTCTGCCTCTCTGCTGGGGCGCATCTTCCTCCGAAGGATTGTCGCTGAGCTGCTCCTGGTCTGCCTCACCGGCTGCTGCCAGTTGACCATCTTCTGCTGCGGTGGCCTGGTCGTCATGGTGATGAGAGTCTACCGCCTGGGGTTGGTCCAGCTGCTGCTCCAGCTCAGGTTCGGGAGTGTGCACCTGAGCTCTGCTTTCCTCACGAATCCGCAGGCGAGGAGATCTCCAGACAAGAGCGCCTTCTTCATCACTGTCCGTGTCTGTGGCCTCTTGTAATGCCTCTTCTTGTCTCCTTTCTTTAGTTCGTGTCTTCTTCTTTTGTTTGCTCTGCTGTTTGTTGTCCAGTCCTTCCACAGGTAAGCTGTCACATGGGAGGAGCAGGTTTCTGTGTACCGTACGGCTTTTACCCCCTTGTTCTGGCTTTATTTCATAAACAGGCATGTCAGGGCTTTTCTGGGCAACTATCACATACACAGAATCTTCCCAGTATGAACGGAGTTTACCAGGCCCCCCTCTCTCTTTGAAGTTGCGAAGGAGGACTCTGTTACCTGGATACAGCTGAACACCATGTGTCTTTTGGTCATAATAGTGTTTGCCTCTGAAAGCTTCTTTCTGTGCCGCCTTTGATGCAATCTGATAAGCCTCTCTCATTTGTGACTGCCATTTCTGTACATACTCCTCATAGCTGATTTGTTGTTCTCGGATGGGCAAGTTGAACAGGATGTCTACTGGGAGTCTGGGAGTGCGGCCGAAAAGCAGGTAATATGGTGTGAACCCAGTGGCATCGCTCTTAGTGCAATTATAGGCATGCACGACTTTGGCCAGTGATTCTTTCCAGTCTGCTTTCTCACTGTCTGTCAGGGTTCTCAGCATGGAGAGCAGGGTCCTGTTGAAACGCTCTACCTGCCCGTTCCCCTGTGGATGGTATGGGGTAGTGTGGGAACCACGGAGACCACAGACTTTCTGGAGCTGGGCAAACAGATGATTTTCAAATTCTCGGCCCATGTCGTGGTGGATTCTCACTGGAAAGCCATACTTCAAAGCAAAGTGGTTAAAGATTTTGTCCACCACTGTCTTAGCTGACTTGTTCTTTGTAGCATATGCCTCTGCAAAGCGCGTAAAATGATCCATTACCACCAGGATGTATTCGTATCCGTGCTTGCATGTCTCTAAATGTAAAAAGTCAATCGACACCAGTTCAAAGGGATATGTTGTGGTAATAGATGTGAGTGGGGCTCTGTTTGCTCTATTGGGGCGTTTTCTTTTTAGGCACTCACAGGCATGCATAACAAAATGCTCTACATCGTTTTGCATTCTTGGCCAGAAAAATCTGTCCCTTATCAGTCCCAACGTTCTTTCTGCCCCCAGGTGTCCCATCTCTCTGTGTAGCTCAGTGAAGACAGTATTATGGTGTTCTTTTGGGAGGAGGAGCTGGTCTCTACCCTTAACTCGCCTGTAGAGGACGCCATCCTCGTTAACGTGTAGTTTGTTCCACTGTCTCAGGAGGATTTTCACATCAGGGGACTCTTTCTTAAAAGCTTGACCTTTGGGCATGAACTCACTGATTTTGTAGTTCAGGACAGGCCCAATGACAGAGTCTTTTTCTTGGCTGGCCCTGATTTCAGCTTGTGAGAGTGTCTTGTCTGGGGGTGCCGCTGTGTCTTGGACTAGACTGATGGCCTGTTCACTGATGATATAGTTCTCTGGACCTGCGCTTTTTTTCTGGAAACAAACACTATCAGCAGCCGCTTTAATGACATCCTGTTTTACTTCAGCAGTGCACTGTGCCATGTACTGATTAATGTCAAGAGGTAATCTGGACAGGCCGTCTGCATCAGCGTTTCTCTTACCGGGCCTGTATCTGATGGTAAAGTTGAAGTCGGCCAATTCCCCTACCCAGCGATAACCAGTTGCATTCAGTTTTGCTGTGGTGAGAACGTAAGTTAAAGGGTTATTGTCCGTGTAAACAACAAAATGAGGGGCATAAAAGAGGTAATCTCGAAAGCGTTCACATATCGCCCACTTTAAAGCTAAAAATTCTAGCTTCCCAGAATGCATGTGATAGTTCTTTTCTGGGGGTGTTAGTGTGCGTGAACCGTAGGCTATTACCCTCAGTTTACCTGCTTGGTGCTGGTACAATACGGCCCCTAGGCCCTCTTGGGAGGCGTCACAGTGGAGTATAAAGGGCTGTGCAAAATCTGGATACCCCAAAATGGGTGGCTCTGTTAAACAGTCTGTGAGCTTGTTTAAAGTCCCTTGGTGGTTTTCAGTCCAGATAATGGGTGTTCTAGGTGGTGGTCGCCCTTTGTGTTTAGCACTAACCTTTCTACCCGTCTTAGGCACATGTGGTGGCGGCTGAGCTATGGGCAGGGTCAGGAGCTGGTAAAGTGGTTTGGCAATCTTTGAAAAGTTTGGGATGTATGACCGGTAGTATGACAGGAAACCCAAGACACGACTCAGCTCACCTACAGTGCTTGGAGGGTTGTCTTTGAGTGCCTGAACCGGGGCTATTTCAGCTGGATCCATCGTGTACCCCTGCTCTGACACCATCCGTCCCAGGAACCGGACCTGTCTCTTAAAAACATCACACTTATGAGGAGTGAGCTTCACACCATGTGTTTGGTACCTCTGCAGCACATCACGGATATGTTGTAGGTGAGTTTCGAATGATGGAGAGTGGACTAAGTTATCATCCAAATAGGGCTGACAGATGGCATCACGCAGTCCCTTTAAACAGTCCTCCATACTCCGTTGAAACTCTGCTGGAGCTGAGCTGAGGCCAAACGGT